GTAATATATACAATATGAGCGGGCGATCTGTATGAGGATTTAAAACAGCGAGCTGAAAGCGAGCTGTTTTAAATCCTCATACAGATCGCACGCGAATATTGTATATTACTTATGAAACGTTAAGGTAAATTAGCTCAGGTTTTAAAGAAACTTTTGAAAAAAAATTCAATCTGACTGAGAAAATCAGAGTAAAAGTTTATGCAAATGAACAAGAAATCTTTATGTAATATACAACTCTCTTCATGGGCTATGATTTCTATTGTGTTTTGCCTTATGAATATTAATGAGTTTTATAATTGACACATACATGTACTTATATTTGCCATTCATATTTAGTCATTCATGATCTACTTCTAATATTTGGTTTTCAGGCATTTCAGTTGCTTTTCAAAGGAGAAGGTTGCAAAATTCTAATGGATCCACAAAGCTGACGTACTTATACAAATTTAAAGTTGACTATTTTTATTCATAAAATTAATAATATAAATCCAAATGCAATAGATGCAATTAATCTGTTAAACAAATAATACTAATTATTTCTAGAATTTAGTAGTAATAACACTTTTTTGTACTTTTTGAGTTTTACAGTTTAAGTGCATCCRCTCTATYGAAATTTAGGAAATATATACAATAMTGAAGAATGTTTTATAAAAATGTAAAATAGATCAATTCTGAATTAAAAGGAGATTTTATCGTGCATAAATAGTAATGAAGTTTTTAATATCAGACAATTTTGTTGTTGTTTTACTCAAACATTGCTAACCGTTTTKCACCATTGATAAACCCCAGTATTCCATTAAAAAKTTTATTTATAACAACATTGATACTCTTGCATACACATTGTATGATTCCTAAGAGCCTTAATATAAAAAAGTATTCTCTGAAGCAATATTGTATATTTTTTATAAACTATCTAACCCAGAGAGCTTTTAAAAGATGTCAACATGTTACACCATTACTACTACAGACTATTTGATTCACATCAGGATTCACATTTTTTTCTATATCCTCTTTTAAGGTATTTTTACTTTCATCAGTTTCTTGACTTGTGTTTTCTTTTTCAGTAACTTCATTAAGTGTATCGTCCTTTATAGTTTCAACAAGTRTGTTTTTMTCATCATTGTCCAKTTTTTCTTTTTCCATTTTGTTTCCATTYGTCTCACTTTGTTTTCCAGTATTAGTATTATGGTTTATTTTACGGATGTTTTCTTCAAGCACTTCATCGGATACATCAAGTTTTGCCATAAGTTCTTCTAGCTTTCTTGCTTTTCTTTCCTCATTTTGTTGAATTACTGCTAATAAATGTTCCGTAAGCATTTCTTTTCTTTCGGTTTTTCTGTGAAGATCCAACTTTGCTGCAACAAACTCTCCCTCGGCGTGCTCATATCTTTTTCTGTTGTCAAGACAACAAAAACACTTAAGATTCCCTGACATCTAATCTCAACTTTACAGAACCTGTGTTATGTCAACAAGATGTAGCATTATGGGGTTTGAGGGGATGGGGATGGCAGGGTGCAACCATGAAATAAGGGTTCAATAAAAAGCCAATGGTATTATACTTACAGGGCATAATGGTACTCTCTTGTTGCTTCTTCAATAGTGTCTCTAAGCACAGCAACATCAGCTGATAATAAATTGTCCAAGTGAGCCAGCTCTTTGTGGACATACTTCAAGGTGTTAGCTTCTGCCTGTGTTCTCTTGAACCTTTAGTTTTCAAAACATTAAAATCTTCAGTTTAAGACTGACATTTGAGCCAAACTTTAATGAACTTTCCCTAAATATTTCTAATAGGGGTTGAATTGATTGCTAGTCAATTGAAATTATTTCTTTCTTTGGACAATAAGGGGGATATGGCGAGGGGGAGGGTAGTTATAGTCCATCACACCTTGTTCTTATTGTTTCTTGTAAAGCTGCTTTCTTTTTCTTGTTTTGATCTTCTATTTCCTTCTGTTTTTGTTGCATCTTTTGAAGAGYAGTGAGTTCAATTTCTTGTATCCTGAAGGAAAAAGCAAATACATTAATATAATCATTCAGTTCCTATAGCAACAAGGGGTCATTTCAGAAGTATTTGAATATTAAAATCTTCCACGTGTATAAACTATTTGATATTTTATACCTTTCTGGCTCCATAATAATTTCTGGGACTTTCTCTTCCTGTTCAATAATGTCATTCTCGTTTCCTTGAATCTTTTCAACTTYTGYATTATCCCGGGATGTTTCGCCTTCTGGGATCGAYTTGACTTCAGAAGTGTCCCTKGTAGTTTCACAAGATGTTTTTTCGACAGCTCGGTCCTGTCTGACATTAGGTTCCCTTTTGCTTGTTGTAGGTTTTGTCTTTATCTTTTCTCTGGGTTTTTGTCGTTTAGGTCCGGYACTAAAGTTTGCTTTGCGTACATTTTCAGGTTTTTCATCGGGTTCTTGAGAAAATTCGGCCGACTTTARATGGTGCTTCTTCAATCTATTCAGGTCTTCCTCAGAAAACCCACCCCAACCAGCCATCTAAACGAAATAGCAATTCTTTGTAAATGAGTACGTCAGTTTTGACATTTAAGAAATGCCAGCGATAGCAATCAAAACCTATTAATTTTTTGTAAACTTTAAAAACATTATTAAAATGCACCAAACGCAGCCGCCATGTTGTCAACACTAGTGCCCAGTCTCTATCGTCAAAGAATGTCACGCAACCAGTGTCAGAGTTAGTCAGAGTTTAAAATATTGACAAATATGGGATGTTTTTTTTTTATTTTTAATGTGAGCTTTTTTAACAGTTTCTTTTTTCGCAACAAGACTTTCAGTGATTTTTTTTTCTCTTGAGAATTTCAAAACTCGTTCCAGTTTTTTCTTCAGTACTCTGTTAAGAACGCCTGACACATTTTGCAACACGGAGGAACCACGCGCGGAAAACAGTTCTAGTAAATATTAACCACAACTGAATTGCAAAATGCCTCTAAGTTGTATGGGAAAATCACATGATAATGCAAGAGATTATCCTTGTTTTCAATGTACATCTCTTTTGTCTGACAATTTGCTGCCGTGGTCAAATGATAACAGACAAAAGGTTAGTCCAAGCATGTCAAAAACACAGCTGATTTATTTTGTAGCACACTTTAGACTAGCATGATAGAACTAGATCTATCTAAAATAGTTTTACAGGTTTCAGAAACTTGCATGTAAATGCTAAATGAATCCCTGGTTTAAGCTCAGCTGGACATCAGAGATTTAAGTTATTATAATGACTCATTGATATATATAACTTAATTGTTAAGCAATAATTTATGGTGTGATGCAAGTCTTATTTCGATAGAAAAAGAAAGTAGTCTTGGAAGCTTCATTATGGTAAGTTCTGRTTATTTGAAGAAGTACACTATATATTCATATACACATTGGTTATTTGTCAATGAGAAAGATAAAATACTTTACTATCAGCTATCATGTCAATTCATCCATTAGGACTACTTTCGCAATGGCTCAGTAATCCAACTAAAATCTAAGGTTACTCAAAAGACACTGKCAATGCGTRATGGTGGATTGATTGATTGYGATGGCAAGGTGGGATTTTATGGTAAGTTTATAGCTCTCATTTATATCATTTCATGCATCTAGATATATAACAATAATTATTTTTACTCTGAGTTCATTCATTTATTCATTTACTTTTCATTCATTCTGTCATTCATTTGTTTGTCTCAGTTGGTCTTTTAATTGAAATTCCCCAGCTTAGCTTTTCCTCATACACTGCTAACTGAGCACTGTATTGATTATCCAATTCATTATGAATGTATATATTTCAAAAGTAAAAATACCCAATTGTTTAATTTCCATTTTAATTTGTATATCTTCAGTTGGAACCCTTGGGTCAGGAACTCCTGTTTGGGCACTCAAAAAAGACAGCWTATATTGCTCTGGTGAAGTAACCAATAATGACAGCCGAATTCACATCAAATTYAATGATGGTGAYATTATTTCTCATGAYTTCAATGATAAATCTGCTGTTTTACTGGATACAATTCCTGATGTTGAAGCTCTCCAAATAGGTACTTATAGTTTATATTGTTGTAAGATTATTATTTACATAGGGAGAATGTTATGTCCTATTTTAAATAACACTGTCACTGGTATTGTTGACATTGCTGATTATAAAATTTCTTGAATTTAGGGTCAAGACTAATAGCACAACACAAGGGAAGTACAGAGTACTGTTCAGGGTGGGTCATGAAAATTGATAAGACCAATCCAAAGAATCCTGTATTTGAGGTTAACTTTGATGATGGTGACAAAGGGCATGTTCATCTACATCAGTTACGATTATTGCTTGCAGTCAACTGTACAAGTAAGTACCATTGAAACTATTAAAATAAAATAAAAACATATAGGGAAATAGTAGCTAGCAATGTTCATTGAATTAGATATACATAGTGAATGCATGCTATTATTGGGTGTCTATTCTCAGCTTTAGGTAGTCCAAATATGCTGGCACAGTGTCATGTCATTGGGCGCTGGAGCAATGACCAATATTATCGCGGTATTGTGACMAGAGCTGGTAGTACRATTGACATACAATTTGATAATGGTGACAAAWTTCAACATGATCCAAGTGACATTGCAGCTGTCATTCTTGATGTGAATCCAAGACCAGGAACTGTCCAGGTAAGACTGCCAGGATRTTGAAAAAATACCAATGTCCAGTTATGAATGAAAATTTCAAGATTTCTAGCTGAAAATCAATAGTAATTCCAAAGAATGCAGCTGGAAAGTATTCACAGAGAGTAGCTATAAGTCACTGGCTACCTGCTAGGCAATTTCAGGTTCAAATTATGCCTGAAATAGTCATTTGAAATTGAATTAATATGGTACTACATCTCTCCTATATGACTATCATAGGTAGGATGCAGAGTGATTGGATGCAGGCCAAGCAGTCATCACTTCTACTGTGGGAGAGTGGTTCAAATAGACTACATGGATCCRCATTCTCCGCGTTACTATGTCAGCTTTGATGACAAYRCTAATGGCTGGTGCAAGCTGGATGAGATTAGAMCCCTCCCGATGAGATGYGAAACTGGTACATAAATATSTAGTATGCATATCATCAAAATAATSTTGTTGTTATATTGTGGATGTGCAATCTTGAKTAATCTTTGWTTTTTGTTTTCAGTTGGGTGTGCAGTGTTTGCAAGAAGCACAAACAAATTTTTCTACCAAGGTCATGTGACTGAGTGCAGCCATGGAAAAATCCACATTACATTTGATAATGATACGGGACAGGGCAAAATTTCTCACTACACAAATGACACTAAATCAGTTATAATTGACAGTGTTCCTAATCCTGCCGACGTATCAATAGGATCAAGAGTGATTGCATCGTGGATGTTTACTCTGCATTAYTTAACTGGCTTTGTCACTGAAATTGATTCTACTGATCTTTATACWCCACGTTATCATGTAAACTTTGATGGTAATGGTGGTCAGTTTTGGGTGAACTTTGATCAAGTGAGATTAATTCCAATGGAGGCCAATGAARGTWAGGCCATGCATGTTTTCTATTACTTTGCTGCCCTCMTTTTCCAYTTCTGAAGAAAAYCCTKGTCCTTTTYACRCAAGATRCAAAGAAATGCTGTTCACCTTGTATTTWATTCTTTCATCTCCTAGTTGGTGCTGTTGTCTGGGKYCGCAGAACAGACAATCTCTACTACAAAGGGAGAATTGAGAGAACAGATTCATCCAAAATCCACATTATATTTGATGATGGAAAGAAAATGGCTCATTCACCAAGTGATATCACAGCGRTAATCTTAGATGTCACCCCTAATGCAAGAWTTGTATCCAAAGGTAGCCGTGTTCTTGCTGATYTGCTTGGAAGCTCAATGTTATATCCTGCTACAGTTCAAAAAGTGGACAAACATAACCCTTGTCAGTTACGGTACTATGTTCATTACGATGGTGGCAACAAAGGGTGGGTTTATCATAAACAAATCAAGCCTATTCCTGTTCCTGGACCCTGCACTGAAGGTAGGGCAAACAMCTTGTGTTATTCATTATCTATCAGCTGACAGATTTGTTGGTGATGAAATTTATAATGCAAAAGTATAAAAATATTTTACTAACTGTATCAATTTGTGCTGCAACTTAATGTTTGCAGAGTAAAACTGATTTTATTGAATGTCTTTTTCATTTTTATTTTAAAAGATCTTTGTTGGTTGTATTTTTCATATTTATATGCAGTTTGTTTAATCAACCATGAATAATTTTAAACTTCTTTCCAAGMTTTCGAMCTAAGCGKYCATCTTCAGGGAACACAAAGACGTTACAAAAACAAAAACAAAAAYGCATTCAAACTGAAATGAAACTACTTTTGCGYGCGCAATAAAGACAATGCGCGTGCTGTTACAATTGAATTCAAGAAAGATGAGAATAAAAAATAAAAGTCTTTTTCTTTATCTTTTATTATTTCATATTGTCTTTTTGCAGCACAATTTTCTGTTGTTCATATTGATGGAAATGTTGTGGCCTTACAAAATATAGCTTTTCCTCAATATTTCTTGGGGATAAATGGTGACCAAGTTATTGGCAAGGTACAATTTTAATCAAATGCCAGTTTTTTCAAATTTAGGATAAAAGTACTTTTACATTCACTTTAGAAAGTATAATGGCTATAACTTTTTTGGGGGAAAATGATGACAATTTTTTTATTCCAGGAATTTGATAAAAACTGTCACATGTATGTCCATGAAACCCAAGACCAGTTTGTCTCTTTGAGTTTCTGTATGTTTCCTGGTCAATATATTGGCATCAGTCATGATGGTCAGCTACTTCCCCCTAACAGTACCCGCCACTCAGAACAGACGTACTTTGAAGTCAAGTTATTAGTAAGTATTAGAGTATTGTACTTTCCTCATGAATAATTAATAATAAGCACAATATTTATTACTGGTAATTTACTGGTATTTAATCACTCAAAGCAATGATTTTTTTCAGTTTAGTCCTTATGGACAGTCATGCCAGGCAGATCACAGTYCCACTGGTAGGGTTCCTGGACATAATCCTTGTTATCAGCTATCTCTGGACTACCCACCACCAGTACCAAATGGGGCTCGTGATTCAAGAGGCCCTCCACAGCCTGAAGGACAATGATACCCATCTCCACCACCTCAAGGTGGGTGCCCGCAACCAAAAGGGGACTAATCTCCAACCAGGGGGGTGCTGCTATCAGCCTAGGAAGAGCTAGTACATATTTGAAACATAATGTTTATACAATGGCAGAAATTTCTAAATTGATTGGTAATGCTGGTTTTTGGACTTTTTCAATACTAGTCGATGAACTTGAAAATTCAAATTGGAAAATTACTGAAAGAATGGAAATTTATTCATGATACTGATATCAAAAAGGTGAYGTAGATAATATCTTGATTTACGCATGGCGCAATGATGCGCTAGAGTAAAACGTTACACAACTTTATTTCCCTTCTCTGTTCTTTTAATGTCACCTTTAATCTCCATTTATTTCCCACTTAATTTTTTTTTGTTTTTTGTTGTTAATAGAGTCTATTCATTGAAATTTACAGCATTTTCACACTTGTATTTTGCTAAATATTAATGTATTTTGAATAGAAATCTTTCAATGTCATCAACCTTATCTTTGCACTCAATATTTGTTAAGTACATTGTTATTTAGTCTATCTGCATAGCAGATATTGCAAGACAAGTGATTGGTACGACAAAACTGATGTAATATATTAGTATTACAGCTCAGTGCGTTCCGATTGGCCAGCGCATTTTATTTTATGRAGCATACACGTACCGTGAATKAAGCAAATRATTAATCTCTGCATTTAACGAAGGGCGAAAGTCAAGAAAATGAAAAYTTGTATTTATTTATTTTTTCTGATACGACCAACTCCTCGTGGTTAAGGATTATCGGGTCRGGAAGATCACGCCCTAGTTTGCCCTTTATTTTTGGTGTCATTTCAAACTAAACGTCGGAAAAGTGTAGAATTTGATCCACTGATCATCTTTAGAACTGATGACAACAGAACCACTGTCCAACAAAATGATATCMGTCGGTCGACCGTCTATTGTGAACTTTGCAACGAAYGTSCCATCAGTYTTGTACACTTGGACACTACTCGATCCCCAGTCGCAGATGTAGAAGCACCCCTTTTCTGGACACAGCGCTATTCCCGTGGGAAGGACAAGTTGGCTTGTTGTTCCCTCTTCAATGTGGGAAAGTGAATCGTCATCTTTTCCTCCTATTTGTCTTCGGTAAACGCCTTGGGAATTGTACACCAAGATGCTGCCTTTTTCCATGTCGGACACGAAGTATTCTTCTTTGTAATAGATAGCTTTGAATGGGAATTCAAGTCGGTGATCATATCCATTCAGACCAAACATCAAGTCTGGTTTCCCGAAAGGGATGTCTTTGTACATGAAGATGCAGGACCGGAAGTGACGTAGGGAAGGCTCGCATGTGAGCAGTACCCTACCATCGGGTCCGACGGTCACAAAACAATACCTGACTCCATACTTTTCGTTAGTACGATACGTCATTTTGAATCCACCTTCTTTGATATTCAAGTAAAACACTTCGGTGGATCCRCAAACTGCAAGAAGCTCAGAAGAAGGCGTGAATGCCACGCCGGAGAACGTCAGCGGCTCAGGGTTTTTCCCTGGGGGCTGGAACCTCTTCAGTAGCTTGCCGTCWATGTCTAAAAGTAAGACATTACTGTTTGCTGGATCGGCTACTGCGATGTATTTCTTGCCATCCGTCGCGAGGCTAAGYGGAGCGAAGTATTCTAGCCCCAGGTCGTCTGCTGTAACTGTTATGTAAGGTTCYAARGGTTTRATRGACGATTGCTTGTTGCTATGAGTTTCGTTTCCGGTATATCTGAATTGATTAGTGCTGTATACTTTGCCAAATCCATCYTTTTCTAGTTTCCCTAATAAAGACAGATTGGGGCTAAAATTAGAGGTTACAACATCAAATGGTGTGAGGTCTTCATATGTCTTCGTGTTGATAATTTTCTGTGATTCAAGTACAATGTTTTTGCGGTCTTCGTTGGTTGCTTCGTCTTGATTATTCAAAACACTTTCAATCTTGATAATCGTGGYTGAAGTGTCTTCTACGAGCTGAGCGAGCATTTCTACTTGCTTTTCACTTTCATATTCGTGTCTTTCAATCTCATCTTCCACTTTYTTGCACAATTCTTTTTCTTTTTCTCTCACACAAAGGATGAATTTCTCTGCTAAATTGTGTATTTGCTCTTGCAGTTGCTCTCCATATTGCTGTCTTYGTTGACTGAATATCTTATGATCCTCAAGTAACTTATTTGCATCGGCCATYTTTTGAACGCACAATTCAAATATCTTCGCCACTCCTTGCCTTTCTCTTTCTTCCTTGCTGYTTCGAACAAGCTCGGCTAATTCAGCATTAGTCGTGAATTCGAATACACCTTGACTACCGAGAGAGAATTCAGTTCGACAAACCGGGCATAAGGCTTTTGATTTTCTTCTTGTCATATTCTGAAGGCAGTGTTTGCAAACATTATGCTTGCAAGAGGGTAGTATTTTAGGTTCGTCAAATTCTTCCAGGCAGATCGGGCAAGTTAATTCCATTCGTTCTCTTTGATCATCGCTTGAAGGAGGTTTATTTGTATCGTCSGAGCGAGAGGCCATTTTGTCATTGTATATTTCCCGTGTATATACGCAAATATGAATAAAACATGTTTTTTAATACTTTAAGTAACGAGCCCACGTCACCAAAAAAGCCATGGCGAAGTGAAAAGACGCTGATAATGAGATAACATTTACATAAGAAGTAGCACAATGAAAATATTTTTTTAAAATTCCCATTGGGAGGAATGYACATTGCTGTATGCTATAAAAGCTGCCAGTAAGACCTKTTTTGAGCTTTAAAACTCATAACATCTTCTTGAAAGGCGATATCTGAAAGCCAATTTCAAGTATCTTAGTTACAAATCATTCTTTATGYTTTTGATTTATAGTCGGACTCGRACWATAACTCTTCCAATCAATCGTTCATTKAATGGTAAATTACGAGCCCTGATTCATTCTCCATTTCAGTTGCTCTTTCATTCACGTATCAATTTCTAATTTAGTTCCGTTCCATTCATTGTTTATTTTTCATTTATTTATTTACTTATCATTTTATCTTCCCCATATATTCATTAATTCATCTATTTATTTTTCAATTCATTCATTATCTGATCTTATATTTACAATAAACCATTACTTACATGTATTTACTTTATTTATTCGTTTTCCTCCCTTTTACTATCTGAAGGTCATCCACGTCATTCATCTATCAATTTAAAATGACATGTACAATTTGATTCGCTGGGGCGGACTGGATCAAGAGGAGTGCCCCCCTCCCCAACCCTTTTAACACAGCAAATATTACATCATTATTCAAACCATACTGCACTGGTCTTTCTTATTTATTGTAAGTWCAGTTGCGCATAATTTTTGTTTACATTTTGAAGTGTTTTCGGCATTTCCTCATTTGCGATACTCCAGAGGTGCGCGCAAGTGGGTTCCAGAATCCCTCTTCCTTGGCAGTCAAAGTCTTTTTGAAATGCACACACCCCTACAAYCCCCTTACAAACTTCTGGATCCGCCCATGTATTTTTTTCTATCGATGATTTTCATATCTTATCCACGTTATCATTTGGACAGAGCATTTTTTGGAATTTTTGTTTTCGTATTCTTGCGTTGCTATATATGGCTAAGCTGCTTGTGTGAAAACCCATTTTGATGTGTTCTTATGCGTATGTATAAGAAGAAGCATAAGGGTCAAATAGATGCTGACAATACCTATCACTTGGAATTGCATTTGAGTTGATCGCTCGCACGCAAAGCCGTGCAGGTACAAACATGTCCCCTGACCACCCCCCACGAAGTGTCCGAGAGATTGAGCTTTCTTGTAGTACACATACGCCGAATTTGTAGGCTTAACTAATTACTTAGCTTAACAAATCAAGACAAAGAAAAACGTGTGCTTGAATATTCAAGAAACGAAGGGATTTGWGCCATGGATGTTTTGGGTTTGGCTTTGAATTATCCAGAGACTATTRACAACATAATTATCGCATTCAAAATGCGTCTGTTTACGGAGCGTCTGTCGATGTTTGCGGTTCTTGCTTTGTGTATCTAAAAGCAAGGTCTCAAAAACATCTGAAATCTTATTGTCCCGCTCAATTATGCAGTAATCATTTAATAAGCGAGTCCCCAGGGAGTCCRTCCAGCTGATACTACGTCACTTCCGCTAGGAAAAACGGCCCGTGGCTGCCCCTTGAGTGTCCGTTCAGTCAACTCACAAACATGGCGGATAAGAAAGACAAGAAAACTCTTAGCGGGGTTATCAGTGATGAATGTACCTGTCCCGTATGTCTAGAAGATTTCCTGGAGCCTAAAACATTGCCAAGCTGTGCTCATAATGTTTGCAGGAAATGTCTGGAAAAACTTGTTGCTGACGATTCGGCAGARATTCGTTGYCCTGTTTGTAGGAAAGAATCTACCGTTCCTGACAAAGGAGTTAGTGGTTTTCCCACAAATTGTTTGATTGTAAAGCTCTTAGAGGCCACCCCGGGAAGAGTAGAGAGGATTGAACTTAGAAGATGTATAGAAACCACGAAAGATGAATTGAATACAGTTGAAAGGGACTTGAGAAAGCTTGCAAATCAAAAACAGGAGAGACTTGAACGCTGCAATGAAATCAAACACGAAATATCAAGTTGTGCTACGAATCTCGTGAAGTTAATCAGGAAACAAGAGAAAGAATTATRCGATAAAATGGATGACTTAATCGTTAAGGACATGGAGATTTTGAGTTATGACAAGAGAAGGGAGGAATGTGATGATGTTCGTAAACAGCTGCGTGATTTTATTACCAAATCYGAAGCAATCCTAAAGAGTTCGGACATTAACAAAATGGTACAGATGAAAGAGAAACTCGTAGAAGAAAGCAAAACTGTTACAAGGAAAGCAAAAGAAATCTACACAGAAGAGCCACATTCCATTATTCTTCTTGCTCGATTTGAACAATTATTGAATTTCGACAAGGGATTTGGCAGAATCAAAACCGGCACTGAAGTTGACCCAGAAGTCAGGGACAGTTTTTCAAAACATAATGGAACCAATAGTCTGCCAACTCTGTCATCATTAGATTTATCTCTGCCCGTTTTTCAAWCCGCGTATGTYATACGAACTGTTGTTGGAAGTAATTTAGGGTTAGATTCAATATCCCCAGTCGCCATCGCTGCGAACAGCTCTACGGATGATATTGCAGTTGCAGAACCTGATAATAATCGAATTCTGGTGCTCAATCAACGAGGAGGACTCAAGAGAAGGATAGCTTCAGGGTCATTGCAATATTCTGGGGTGGCCTTCACTAGGGATGGAGARATTATAGCAGTATATAGCTCRAAGGAGCTTCTCTACATAGATCCAAACACAGGGAAAATATCTGGAAATTTTAARACCACAGATCATGGYGTAAAACACAGATCAGTTACTTGTGATCAATCTGGAAGACTKATAGTTACTAGTGAGCCGTCGTCAATGTTCTACAAGTCGGCAGTGTGTATTTATGGCACGGCGAATAACATCAATGCTAAGAGAGCGGTGTTGAAATTCACATGTTATGGCAGTGGGCTGACATCAGCACCATTTAAAGCATTGTATCACAGAGGTGAATACTTTGTTTCTGACACTGCCAAAGAGTGCATTGTTGTGTATAATGAACATGGGAACTTTGTGCGKCAGTTTGGTGCATGGGGGTCAATGCTGCGGCGAGGAAATGGTAGGGGAAGGAATGAGTTTGGTGAGTTAACTTCACCGACTGGTATAGCACTTGATCCTAGTGGGGAAAATCTCCTTATTTGTGATGTCAGCACAAAGAGCATTCAGATGTACACAACTGGTGGTCAGTTTATCAGCAAGTTTGCTCTTGAGGGTCGACCAAGCGATATCTGTGTGCTTAGTGATGGYACTATAGTTGTTTGCTCCAAGACGGACAACTGGATTAAGTTTATATCACTGACAGGCCCTGATGATAGCTAAATCAAACCAATCTTCCTAAGAAAACACACTTAACTAAAAACCCACATTTATAAAAACATATTTATAGACCTCCCTGTCTGAATATTTCCCCCACATAACTGCACCCATTTCAGATATTCAAAGATCTTGGGATTTAAGATATTAGCAGCTTGAGGAAACTAGCCATTAGTCATCCCCAGGCAAAGCACTCTTCAATTCTATTCCAATGTGTAAAATGAAATATTATTTATAGATTCCTTTATATGCATGTTTAATAATATTATACATTTTTCTGTATTTCCAAGTGATAATTTGATGTTCAAAGTTTATTATAATACCTTGTTATACTACAATAGAAAGATAGTTCTTTTTCATGAGAATGCCTTTAATGAAAGTTTACCTAATTCTACAAACATGCTAACTCTACATAATAACAATAGCTATCCACCTAACAGAAGAGATATCAATAATATTATCAAAGTTTTCAGTGTCTGTAACAAGGCAATAGTCTGCACAAATATCTTTGACATACAAGCACTGTGGTTGAATGGATTGACTTTAATACATGGTCATTATAATGACAGCTCRTGACATCTATCATCTCGATCCTTTTGAACTTTCTGAAACCATTCTTGTTGTCTATATATAGAACCTGTAACTTTAAGCTTCAATGTTGGGTGCCACTTTTCCAYGCTGTCAAACTTAAAAAACACATTTAGTTTCCGAAAATTTTGAATTCATGTTTACTTGGATCTTCAAAGAAAATGATTTTTTTTTGTTGTAAAATATTCTTTGATCMTGTTTCAGAAATTTATAAGTACACTTTCTATGACATTTTGACTTCAAATTGAGCCTTTGTAACTTTCAGAACAATCCAGGGTTTTCTATAAAATTTGAAAACTTAAAAGTTAAAGAAACTTCAGAGATTATTTCATTATGATTTAAATTATAAATGACACAATTTGGTGAAAGACTTTTGTAAATTGTTATTATTGGTATACAACATAAACAAAAAGTCAAAAATACTTTTATTTTATAGTAATGYGATATCTTGTTTGCAGCTAATAATCAACCCATGACGCATGGCATAAATCTAGATTTTTATTTGTCTTGAATKTTTAAGATTTTTTGACATTTGTTCCCTGGAGATCACACATGGYTGACAAATAGTTTGCTGAGTGCTTGAATAGAYAGATAATKAAATCWTMTATTRTTATGCAAATCTTTGAGATCTCTGTTYATAAGAGGGCCAAACAAACACATTYGTAAATTGGTTTTGGTCAAATTTGCTCAAACCTTTTGTTAGGCTGGTTTTACTASAGACTGTACATAAAAAATTGTGAAAATCCAATCATTAATACAATTTTCTGATCTATTTTATGGTTATTTTAATAGTTTTGACTAAATTAAGTTACAATACTGTACTTTTCTATTACTGTCTCAACAATTATTATTTCATCAAGATATTTGTAATGTTTTTAGAGAAACAAAGCCTTGTTGCCATTTATTTGTATATTATTTTAATTGATTTTTGCTAGTTCTTGTCAAGATGACCCAAAGCATGCATCAATRTTATTAATATATTCAGCCATTAATCATTTTCAGTCCAAAAGAAAAGGTTAATTTAACTTTACAACTATTACAGCAATACAACACAGCTAAACAACTTAACACATCAACAATGTTAAYCTTCTATAACTTATTTAAAAAATATMTATATAATTAAATGAGATTTGATTCATTGGTTATTGAAGTTTTTGTGTATATAGCTTACATTTAGTTTGTTGAATTATTTACTTCCAAAACCGGACAAATACTTTTAATTATTTATGAGTATTCTARGACCTGCTAGTCCAAATTTAATGTCTTTTCAAAGATATAAACMGGGAACTTCTTTTTTATATGCATATCAATGGGGATTTATGTAGCTATTGCTTATTATYATACTTTTGTAAAATATGTAAAAATGAAATGACAAGAAAGAAAGCTATTTGTATTAAATGCAAATGTTGTGAAATTTTATATTGGTAGTTCATGTGAAAAGTCTYGTAAAGTTGCCTGTTATAACATGAAATTCCTTCGATCTTTGAAAAGAAAAATCTATTCAACGACTATAAATGTATTTCGTTTTTTGTACGCATCGCCAAAAAAATTTCTTTTCGATTATGAGATGCGTTAAGTTGTTTTTATAGGATTCACGTCAGAATTGAGAATCTTTTTTCTTGTTTTCATAATTTAAGAGGAATTTATGATTCGACCKTAGTCCGCTTTTATTTTAATATAATATTTCAAGTAATATAGAATTTAATCTAATTCAAAGAATCAAATTTATCAAAGAATTCTCATAGATAATATCAATAGTCCTCGCAGAGACAGCAATATATGCCATCATAGTTGACTATATCTTGTAGTCATGCATAACTAATCAGCTATAACTCCTTTTGGTTTTGCCATGGGTGCATTTTTGAGATACCTTTAGAATTTTTTTTAGATTTTTTACATTACTATACCGTGGGAAGGCTTATATTGGACTTTGCGTAAGTCTTGACTAAAATTTCTCTAAGCTTTCTTTTTTAGCCCGTTTTCCGTTATTATCGAGCTCAAAGCTACCTAATTTCGCTCTTTTTATTAGTTTTTTTTTTAATGTAATTTTGTGCTACGTTAACCTGAGCACGAAGAGAAGTTTATTATCAAGCATTCATCATTTTTATTAATTATTTATTTATTATGTCATTTATTGCTCTTGATAGTTTTTGACTTCTTTTCTATCTACCAGACAGCTGTTTCCGAAATCTATGGTGAAAAGCGAGTCTTTGGTCACCCCATCCCTACTACCGGGTGCCGGGGGAATTCATGACATCTCAGCAATGTCAAAGGCCCGGCTTTTCCCGGCTCTAAGAGACTTARACGTTAATTCGTCCGCCTATCCCAAGMATTGATGTTAAAATCCCGGGGTTTTAATTCACTGATGAATTATTGTACCGGAAATGAAAATTAAACATATTGAAAGTAACAGGATATCAGCAGTAATCAAYTTAAAGAGATCGTTAATKCAGCTTTAATTCATGAAACGGCTCCWGGAARTTATCAAAGATATTCGACACGCCMCACAATCTTGACTTATCCCACATGTCCGGTAACTCGTCCCCAGTCGTCTCGCACTCGCGCGCAATTCATCAATGCATCATTTGTCAATCACTCTGCATGCAGGTGACCTCCACTGGGATACCATTGCCTCCCTCTTGCCTCCCGTCTTTAAAGACCCTCGGCGGAAATAGTTAAGTGTACGATTATGCTCAATAACAATCTTGAAAATTGATGCGAGATAAATAAATAAATAAATAAAGTCTTTTATTTTGAGAGGGTAGCACGTAATAGTCTCTAGACTAATAAACTTGTGGCCCTCTATATATTCACTCACACTCACTACCTCAACATTCATTATTTTACTACACGACACTCCTCACAGCTAGTTTTTGACTGAGGGAGGAAAACCAGCGGACCTGGAGAAAAACCCTCGGAGCAAGGAAGAGAACCAGCCTACAAACTCAAATCACATATAGTCCCGGACCGGGAATCGAACCAGGACCACAGCGGTGATAGACCGGCGTTTTAACCGCTCGGCCATCCTTGCTCCCC